AATAATAATAATAATAATAATAATTTAAAAAGTTGAACATATTTACTAGACTACAGAATCCTAAATATATTTCTAAACATTTAAACAAACACGTACATAAATGTAAATCACACTATTATTCATCCTAATATCAAAAATAAAATTCAGATTATCAATAAGTTGACAGATATATAAACAATGTAGATCTGTAGTGAAATATAATTTAGTCATAAAAGGGAATGAAGTACTGATGTTTGCCACAGAACACTATAAGCCTTAGCATCATTGTACTAAGCAAAATAAACTAATCCCCAAAGACCACGTGAAATGTTCATGAATGAGGGACCTGCAGAGACAATGCATTCGTCATTGTTAGGAACGGAGGGAAAGGCAGTGGAGGGATGGACAGTAGGCAGCATTTCCTGCGAGGAAATGCTCAGAGATTTCAACCGCAGAGATAACTGTGCGGCCTCAAGAAAATATGGAAAGCTGTTGAAATTGTACACTTTAAGAAAATGAATCTTATTAAATTATATCATAATAAAAATATTTGCAAACTGATATGATATACAAAAAAGACACCACAACCAAGTGTGTTTGGTCGAGGAATGCAAGTGTTTTGATAACCAAAACAGTCCATCAGTGTGGTACATATGAAAAAAAAAAGAACAGATGAAATAATTATCTAAATAGACATTAAAAACTCAGGAAAAAAAATTTTTCATTAGCTAGGAAAAATTGGAGTTCAAAGTACTTGTCACACTTAATAGTAAAAATAGATGTCTTCTCTTTTGGGTAAAAGGCAGGCCCCTCTACCACTCCTATTCAACATTATACTAGCGAGTAAAATAAGAAATAAAAGATAAATCCAGGGGCTGGAGAGATGGCTCAGAGGTTAAGAGTGTTGCCTACTCTTCCAAAGGTCCTGAGTTCAATTCCCAGCAACCAAATGGTGGCTCACAGCCATCTGTAAAGAGGTCTGGTGCCCTCTTCTGGCCTGCAGGCATACACACAGACAGAATATTGTATACATAATAAATTAAAAAAAATATTAAAAAAAGATAAACCCACATGAATTAAAAAGCTGTCTTCTTTCACAAATGGCAAAATGACATAGTAGTATACTGTAAAGGATTCATTAAAGACCAGGATGTATAAAGGTGTTTAGCAACATCACAGAGTCCAAGATAAGTGGAGAAAACCTGTTTTATTTTTACATACTATTCACAAAAAATCATACATGAAATTAAAACATTCAATGACATCAAAAATAATTTTTGAAACAGTGCAGTATTTATAAGGGAAGTCATAAAATCTGCAGCTAGCAGAATGTGAAGATCTAAGCAAGTTATACATGTTACGCTTCTGAGATAAAATTCTCTTTATTGCCAGGCGATGGTAGCGCACGCCTTTAATCCCAGCACTCGGGAGGCAGAGGCAGGCGGATCTCTGTGAGTTCGAGACCAGCCTGGTCTACAGAGCTAGTTCCAGGACAGGCTCCAAAGCCACAGAGAAACCCTGTCTCGAAAAACCGAAAAAAAAAAAAAATCAATGACTTGGAAAACTTGATCATTCAGATCCTCGGTCGGTGAACATGAGGACACAGGTGGTACAAGTATTGGTGTCCCTGATGTGTCTGTATTACTGAAGTGAACTCAGTTGTTGTCCTTGGGGATTAGGGGAACTGGGAGTTTTTTAAGAGTTTTCTGCTGGGCCTTGGAGGTGCACACNAGAGCTAGTTCCAGGACAGGCTCCAAAGCCACAGAGAAACCCTGTCTCGAAAAACCAAAAAAAAAAAAAAAAATTCTCTTTATTCCTAAAATGATAATGGTCTTCATATAAATGTATAGATTTACAGCGGGGCTTCTGGAACAGCATTACTTTGATACCAGGCACCAGATCGCGCCTTGTTATAAGACACAGTGCTGTGCGCCTGCCCTTGTCCACTCGGTGCTAGGCACACGCTGCTCTCTGGTTGTAGTAGAATGTATGGAAAGACATCTCTGCTTATTTTATGACTTATTTCGATTTCATGTGCATTGGTGTTTTGCCTGCATGTGCGTCTGTGTGAGAGCGACGGATCCCCTGAAAAAGGTGTTACAGACAGTTGTGAGCTACCATGAGGGTGCTGGGAATTGAACATGGGTCCTCTGGAAAAGCAGTCAGTGCTCTTAACCACCAAGCCACCTCCCCAGCCTCCACTTCTGTTCTTATTTAACGTGACAGAATCATGAGACACCAGAGAGTTGGACAATAAACCCCACATAGTGGGCTGCTGTCCTATTGGCAGAGGTATTAATATAATTAGATGGAGGGGTAGCCTGATCTACTGGAACTGGAATCTAGACCCTTACATCACATTCAAATTTAAATTGAGCTATGAAGCTCAAATGATCTAAACTATATAATACATAGAAAATTAGGAGGGAGTCTTAGCGACCTTCAATTAGCCCAAAGTTTCTTATACATCACAAAACTTATCAATTGAACTATATCAGTTTTTGGTCAGGGGAGGGAGTGGGGGAGGGAGAAGGAAGAGAGGGAAGGAATGAAGGAGTGAGGGGTGGGAGAGAGGAAGAAAGTGTAGATATTCCAGCAGTACACACACATAAGGACATCAGATGCGAACGTTACGTACAAAATATATCTGTTTAAAGGACTTCAGCCAGAACCTATTTTAAAAGTCTCTTACAACTTAACTAAGAAGATAGAAAATTCAATGTCAGCTTGGGCCACAAAGCAAGAACCTATCTCAACAAAAGTTTGAAGTTATCTACAAAGTCCTGTAAACTGCTGCACCCCTTAGAAGTCGCCTGGGGGGATGCTGACGTGAAGATCAGCCCGTGCAAAATGCAGAGCCAGCCGCTTTCAGCGGCAGAAATCGTCTCAAAAGGACCCAACTCTGGATGCATTGTTATTTTATGAAAATGTTCGCCAAAGTGGAGATCTCTTTCAGAACCAAATGATTCTTAAATGTGCCGTGCCAATGAGGAAACTCGAATGAGAAGAAGGCTCCAGGCGTCATCAAAACCTGAGACGTTTGCTGTTGTCTCTGTGCCCAAGTGAAACAGGCTTTCTGAACGGATCTGGGGAAACGTAGAAACCAACCTTAGTACTGACTGCAGTGATTTTCTCATTCCTCTGCAGTGAAACAGAATCTTTGCCATGGCTGTAAAACACTGCTTTTGTAGAACAGAGGACACCTGAAAGTTCTCGCTCTGGGCTTCTGCACTCGGCCCCGACAATCAACCCACAGACCAAACCCACACTGCATTGGTCAAGTGAGCGTCTGAGTCATCAGGCCGTACAGACTGACTGGCTTCAGCCTGCCTTTGAGTGGTCTCTGAGCGGCCTGAAAGAACTCTCTGCTCAGCTTCAGCGCTTCCTTTGCTCCCGCCTGTTCATGGCCTTACAAAAACCCAGCTGTGCTGCCAGGCCCAAGGCTGCTCCTATTGCACGAGATGCTACCCATTCCTAGAGCTCAAACAAAAACCTGTTGGATTATGTAACTAATTTGTTGAAATGCTGCCTTTCACTAATTAGAACTCAAGGGTACTTCACTCCCACAAGACACTCGGCTTTTGAGTACAGGTGTTTGCTGGCGTCGAGCCAGCCAGTCTGGCCTGCCTACACCAGAGAAAACGGGACTCACTCTAATTTACCAGGCTGTGCTCAGGAAGCAGACAGAATCAACCCTCCCGCATAAACATCACAATGCCATGAGAATTCAAGGTTAATTCAAAGAACTCTCTTAATGTAGACATCATGGCTTCTCTTGGAAACACTGTAGGGTATCAAGACAGTTTATCATTCAATCCCAGGTAATAGTAGGACATAGGAAATACCAACCACTTCCCTTGCTGTTCAACAGCGATGCAGCCAGGAGACCCCTAAGAGGAGTGCAGGTGAATGTCTGGGCAGTGGCTCTCATCTACTGGGCAGTGGCTCTCATCTACTGGGCAGCCTCCTTGTAGCCTGTCCCAGGCCAGCCTCTTCCAAAGACCAGAAGACAAGTACTGTACCAGACTTGAGCTCATCAGCAGGCGTTTACCAAGTTCTTTTCTTCAGATCACAATGTCAGGTCTTTTTTAAAGGAAACATTCTGAAGGGGAAATTGAGGCCCCTTGTGCGTCAATCCTACATATTGTCATAAAAAAGCTAATGATATTCAATTTATATGCCCTTCTAAAGCTTCAGTGTGGACATTTATCTAATTTCAGAATATCGCCATCCTCCAAACAAGCCTGTGCCCGTTAGCAGATGGTCTTCACTCTCCTGCACGCGTGCCAGGCCAACATCCTTCTCCATGGCATTGCCTACTCTATCATGTCTTTCCCCCCTTTAAGACTGGCTCTTCTCACCTACCATGTTTTCAAGATCACCCATGGAGACTATTCCATTGTTTTAATTAGCACACAAAGTAGTTAGCGTAATTACAGCATCTCGATCCCGCCCCTGTAGTTCCTTTTCTTTGTCACATCACATGGTCTATCTATCACCCTCTTCCCCTTGCCCTCTCACGGTCCCCTTTCTAGTGCTATCCATTCATCTGTGGATATGTGCAGTGTGTCTGGGCTGGCTCCGTTGACTTGTTGTAATCGACACTGTGGTGGTTCCTGTGGTAGGATAGAGTCCTTTGGGTATGTATCTAGGGTACGCACACAGCTCACATGGTAGTTGTTTTCGCTTTTTAAAGGACCCTCTGTACACATTTCCATAATGGCTGTGCTAGCTGACGCTCCCACCAATAGTGAACACGGGTTCTTTTCTTGCTTCCCCACCACCTCACCAACACTTACTGCAGTTTGTTTTATGATGGGGTTTGAAGGAGGGGGGGGTGAGGAGCTCAAAGTAGCTTTACTTTCCATCTCTCTGAAGGCTAAGGGTGTTTTTAAAGAAGACTTTGAAATTTGTTACTAGCATCTTATATACTTCATTCCTTTCTGTTGACAAATGCCACTGAACGCTGTAGGTACGTATCTTGTCATCAGTCAGTTGATACCTGCGTTGCTTCTGCTTTTATAGTTACTGTGCTAGTATTTCCGTATGGTTTTAGAGAAACAGTTGCTTCCCATGCTCTTGAGTATTCCTTGATTCTTAGATCACATGCTAATTCTATATTTCAGTGTTCAGGAGAAACTCATCTTTTTCCTCAAGTCAGTGCAATAAGAGTTCACAATCCCACCCCAGTGTCCAAAGGTTCACTTCTGCATGGCCTCAGCAACAATGGTCCTTTTCCTCCTCCTCCTTCTTCCTTTTCAATGCAGAATCACACCCAGGGCTACACACGTGTGAAGTACTGTCACTGAGCTACAAACTCAGCTCTTGTCCTCCTCTGATAGGAGCAGCGCTGGGAAGGAAGCAGGCTCTCTGCAGACTTGTTTACATTATAGTATTAATGAATACTTTCCTTAGGCTAATTCGACACTTAGAGACTAAAGAACATTAGAGAAATGTCCGCTTCATTTACTTGGAAACTGGGTTTTTGTTTGTTTGTTTTCTTTTGGTTTTTTGAGGCAGGGTTTCTCTGTGTAATAGCCCTGGCTGTTCTGGAACTAGCTCTAGCAGACCAGGCTGGCCTTGAACTCATAAAAAACCACCTGCCTCTGCCTCTCGAGAGTCGGGATTAAAGGTTTACGCCACCACCACCTGGCAGAAACTAGGTTATTAAGATCTAAGAGTCCCTGGGCTGGCAACAGGGCTCAGTGAGTAGAGGCGCTCTTGATAAAAGCCCGATGACCTGAGTTTAATCTCTGGGACCCACGTACTCTCCCCGGGTATACTCCGACCCCCACGTATATGCCACAGCATGCATACCCTCCCCACACATATACATCGTGCACACATAAAACAATATTTTAAGGATCTAAGAGTCTTTTCTATTTTCTGGGTCTATTATGTTTGTTCAAAGCTTGCTGACTTATTACACTTTTTAAAACCACATATTTATGATTTTTTTTGCACATAAGCATTTTTATTTTTATTGAGCTATATCTTTTTCTCTACTCTCCTCCCTTCCTCACTCCTCCCATGGTCCCCATGCTCCCTATTTACTCAGGAAATCTTGTCTTTTTCTACTTCCCACATAGATTAGAACCATGATTATCTTTTAGGGTCCTCTTAGTTGTCTAGGTTCTCTGGGATTGTGAATTGTAGGCTAGTTTTTCTTTGCTTTATATCTAACATCCACATTGAGTGAGTACATATGATATTTGTCTTTCTGGGTCTGGGTTACCTCACTCAATGTTTTCTAGATCCATCCATTTGCCTGCAAATTTCAAGATGTCATTATTATTATTATTTTTTCTATGTAGTACCCCATTGTATAAATGTTTATCACATCTTCTTTATCCATTCTTTGTTCACATTTAGGTTGTTTCCAGGTTCTGGCTATGACAAACAATGCTGTTATGAACATAGTTGAGCACATGTCCTTGTGGCACGATTGAGCATCCTTTGTGAATATCCAAAAGTGGTATTGCTAAGTCTTGAGGTAGATAGATTCCTAATTTTCTGAGAAATCGCCATACTGACTTCCAAAGCAGCTGCACCAGTTTGCATTCCCACCAGCAATGCAGGAGTGTTGTCCTTACTTTATATCCTCTCCAGCATAAGTTGTCATCAGTGTTTTTGATCTTGGCCATTCTGACAGGTATAGAATGGAATCTCATAGTTGTTTTGATTTGCATTTCTCTGATGGCTAAGGATGTTGAACATTTCCTTGAGTGTCTTTCAGTCATTTTAGATTCATCTGTTGGGAGTTCTCTGGTTTAGGTCTGTATCCCACTTTTTTATTGGATTATTTGTTCTTTTGATGACCAATTTCTTAAGTTCTTTGTATATTTTAAACATCAGTCCCCTGTCCAATGTGGGTCGGTGAAGTTCTTCTCCCATTCTGTTGGCTGCTGTTTTGTCTTATTGACCGTGCCCTTTGCTTTACAGTAGCTTCTTACGCTAGCTTCTAATGTTACATTTCATTAATTTTCCAAGTATGTCCAAATTCAGATACATATTTTATACATCAGAATTTTACCATAAATTTGAAACAGCACATAAAAGACTAAAGCCGTGGTAGCTTTCTCAAATACCTTTCTAAGGTGTAGGTGAAGAGACTTGCACAGATATGTAGTTTATCTACATGCTGACTTGAAACGTGTAGGGAATGTGGTTTACACACTGACTGGTTACCAACACTAAGACACTACTAATGGAAAAGTAGAAGGTGGTGATATTTAAAAATTCCTTACCCTGAAATAACTACCAGCTAAATAATTTGCTTCAAAATAAATCAAGGTCCAAACATAGGTGGCATGCCCATGTTAGGACTGCCCATGACCCAAACATGTTGAAATGGACTTGTTACACTCTCTGTTTTCGGAAAATTTTCATTAAAAATTTAAAAGCCACAGCTGCATAGAAAAGCTCATTAGTAGTAGTGGCACAGAACTCAGGGCCTCACGCGCTAGACAAGGACTGTCTACAGGCTAAGCTTCGTCCCCACTGCTACACTGTCCTTCAACCTGTAACCAGGGACCACTTTAGGCCGAAGCAAACTTTTGTGGCTGCACTGGCAGCTGAAACAAAATGATAACTAAATCTTTAAGAATTTAACAAAAAAGGGCTGGAGAGATGGCTCAGAGGTTAAGAGCACTGGCTGCTCTTCCAGAGGTCCTGAGTTCAATTCCCAGCAACCACATGGTGACTCACAACCATCTGTACTGAGATCTGGAGCCCTCCTCTGGTGTGCGGGCATACATCGAGGAAGAATGTTGTATACATAATAAATCAATCTTAAAAAAAAAAAAGAATTTAACAAAAATCTGTTACCTCAAAAGTAAAAGATCCGAAAACCTTAATGATTGCAGTACTTATGTCTTTTTAATGTCCCTCACCAGTCAGAGACTCCTTACACCCGTCAGCCACAGCGGTAGCCACCAGCACCAACCCTCACTGAACTCATCTCCCCAAACACTGCCCTCCCTGCACTGGCTTCAGATAACACCTGCTTCGCGGAGGAGGAGCATAGCCCAGACAATTCTAGGGCAATTTCCGGGCCATCTGAAGTCACCCGGATAGCACATCTTGTAGATAAGAATGCTCATTTGAAAAATATACCCCCGTATGGGCATGTGTGGACCGACGAGGACGTGCAGAAACAGCAATATTTGTGCAGTGTAGAACAATTCCAAGGCTAAAAGTGTGAGGGGTGAAAATGGATCCACACAAGGACAACAGAGGGCCATCTACAGTATCATCACTCTTTAAACAGTAGACACATTATACGTCTACCACAAACGAGTACAAAGATGGAGGCCACTCTGTTCCACAGTGGAAGCCTGCAGCAGTCTGAGGAGCGAACCACGCACATGGTCCGGAAGCAGCACCCCACAAGGACGATGCCGAGGCCTACAACCCACAAGTGACTGAGTTTTACAACGTGTGGATCATGCGTTGACGGAGCCATTTCTGGTGTCGGCACCACTGGCTGAAGAGCTGAGAAGAGAAAAGCGTGGGAAGATCGTCACAGTTCTGGCTGGCCATGAATTCTAAGGACCGCAGCAAACACGCACAGTTGCTTGAAAGCATGCAGCCTGTAAAGGGCCAGCCTCTACGTCCTTCATGGTGTTGGTTACCGTCCGCTGAGCCACGGGGCAGCCGAGGGACTCTGCGCCAGCCTTCACAACAGCACAGCGACTCCCGCGGCCATTTTCCTCTACTGTGCCGCTCTAAAATTCATCCCCAATCATTATCGCTATTTTCTTTTGAAAAATGTCTTGTTTAATATCACCCAATTTTTTCACTAGACAAAAAGCTTTGAGTATTTCATAAACCAAAACAAAATTTTAATATCTATATAGAAAATGCCTTTAAATGCAAACATACTTTCTCTATGTAAAGCAATTGTTCTTCCTTCCTCTATGTGGGCTAATTAGGCTGTTCCGTGTTTGCCTCAAATACTTGCTTCAAATCAAACTTCGTTTTCACCAGTTTGGTTCAAAACTCTTCTATTTCCTTGAACTGGACAGATTCTTTCTTCCAGAGGCTGCTTTCCTTTAGTCTCACGTCTTTCCCCTGGTTGGCAGCTTTGTCAAAGAGGTAGAGATATTTTTCCCTACAGCCAACCGAGAACACATCATAGGGACAGGGTGTCAGGAGGCCCTGGGGTCCTTCTCCAGCACTGCATACCAGACATGGGGGTTGATGCCTGTGATCCCAGCACTACGGAGGCTCAGGAGTTCAAGATCATCCTCAGTTACACAGTAGGTTCAAGGCCTGTCTGGATTACATGAAACCAACTCAAAAGCAAAATCAAAACATTTTAAAACACACATAGTAAAACCAACCAAAAGCTGGAGGGACGGCCGGGCAGTTAAGAGCACTGGTTGCTCTTCCCTAGAATCTGAGCGCCATTCGTGGATGCTATGTGGTGGCTCATAAGCACCTGACTGCAATCTCACGGGGTCCAACACTCTCTTCTGCCTTCTTGCATATGGCACACATAAAAGAAAAACACCACATACAAAAAATAAAAGGGGGGAAGAAAAACAACCCAAACTAGGCATGGGACCACCTGCCTTTACTCCCAGCGTGTGGGAAGCTGAGAGGCAGAATTAAAAGTTTGTGGCAACACTGGGCTATAGCAGTGACCCATTTCCAAAAACACAAAGCTGAAACAAAGTTAAAAAATCCAATCCTAACAAATCTCATACGAAGCACTTATAAAAGAGAAAAGCAGCAGGTGGGCACATAAGAAGCACTTATAAAAGAGAAAAGCAGCAGGTGGGCAGACACCTTTATCCCAGCAGTCAGGATGCTGAGGCAGGTGGATCTCTGAGTTCCTGGGCAGCCTGGTCTACACAGGGAGACCCAGACTCAGAACAGAACCCATACTAACAGCATAAGCAACAACAACAACAACAACAACAAAAGATAAAGTTAAGTGTAAATCTCTGAATTAAGCAGGGACACCTGTATCTGATGGCTCAAACACCGTACATTATCGCATACAAAGCAAGGTCTAAGTATGCAACTACTTGGTGATCTTGGAACAGTATCACTGCAAAAACTCAAAGTAACTAATACAACTTGCTTGTGAATGAAGAGAAACCATACACTTAAACAGATATTAGAAATCTTGGGATCAGAGAGTAGGGGTAGAGCTCAGGAGTTGGTACAGGACTTGCCTAACACACACAATGCCCAGCTTTGATCCCCAGCCCCAAATAAACCTGGTGTGAGGTACACACTTGTAATCCCAGCACCCAGGAGATGGGTGCTGATGACCGGAAGTTCAAGGATCTCCTTGGCTACATAGTGATTTTGAGAAAAGCCAAGAGTACCTGAGACCCCCCCATGTCAAAACAGTAACAAAAGCAAAAATGAATAACTACAAAGTAATTCTCTTTAAATCAACCTAGATAAAACCATTACCTTTTAGGTGGTGATGAAGGCTGTGGTTTTTTCCCACCATAATTTACTTATTTATGAGATTTTTTTAAATTACCCTGGGGCTGGAGAGATTAAAGCACGCTTACTGGTCCTGTCAGTTCTCAGCAGTCATATTCGTTGGCTTCCCCACTGCCTGCAACTCCATCTCCTAAGGATCCGATGCCTTCTTTTGGCCTCAACCAGCACCTGCACCCATGAGTACATTCCCCACAGTCACATAATTAAAAATGAAAAAAAAAAATCAACCAAAGAGAAGTCAAGACCTGCACTAGCACCAACTACTGAGCCCAGGGCACAGCTATCAGAGCTGGTCTGCAGGAAATGCGTTTCCAGACAGATAATGCAGAGGATGCCAAGAGCGCTGGGAGAGAACCACTTGTTCTGCCCGCCTGCATCTGCCTCCAAAGTGTGGGACAAACTGAGGATGTTAACCACGTTGAATCAATGGAAACCAGAAATTAACTCCACTAAAGTCCTAAGAAATAAAAATTATTGCTATGATGATAAAAATTGAAGCAATAAAAGGGTTGGAAATACACTCAAGTTTATAATTAATTAAATGATGAGCCATAATTTGACCCTGTTCATCATCTGTTATATAAAAACCACAATTCAGTTATTTATATGATAAATAGTTCACATTTAAAAACATTTATCATTACATTATCAAATTTGATAAACTCTTATCAAAACATCTCAGCATCCAATATAAACCATATTATTTAAAGTTTAAGGTAACAATAACACTAAAAAAAAAAAAAAAAACACCCTGGAGGGGTCCAAATAAATACGCAATGAAACGTTCAGAGCCACACGAAGTCTAAGAGTTGGTTCAGTTTCACACAGGCACACTTTGTGAGCATGCGTGCATCTTCCCAGCACCGCTTTCCTTTCTAATTCACAAAGTGATCTATCAGATCAACTTGCTCCTGCTTGCACGTCAACCAACAACCTAGCAGTACATAGCTGAGCAGGGCGACAAAGTGAGTCAGACTCCTCATCCAAGAAAAAATAAATAACTTCACTTAGATGGCAGCTGGGCAGAGTCGTAAACACTGACACAGTAAGCACTGGCCTCTTCCCCGAACGTGCCGGTCCTGTGCTCTTCCGTGAGTACTTACTCCTCCTCCAAGTCTTCAAGTCTATTTTAGCTTTGGGAAAAAACTAAAGCACTGAAATAATATGTGAGAAGATTTAGTCACGGCAATTTCACGGAAGCTTTTATTGCCTCTGTTGGTAATATGACAGGGATCGTAAAAGACACACTTGAACTTACAGAGATATGCAGATGATATTCACTGAAGAGAACCTTGATCTCAAGTATTTTATATGTGGGTACTTCTCATTTTATACATTTTACTATTTAAAAAGCATTACATTTAAAAATGTGTACCTGTTCTGACATTTGGCAAAAAGTAAACTCTCCCTATGGGTCTGTCTGGAAAAAAAAAAAAGGAATCAGCATGGCGCACTGTCGCCCACAAAGACGGACGCCTGTGACCCAGAGCAGCTGCAATGGCTGTGTGCGAGTGGGCTGTTTCTCTCCAAACTTGCTGATGCCCCTCCCCGAACAGTGTAAGCATTTTTAGTACAAAACAGTCCCTATAAGCAGATATTTATCCTCAGAATAAACACATTAAATCAGATTCTCTTTTGAGCCCTAGTGATAGTTTTGTTTAATGCTAAGATGCCATCATGGTGAACAACCTTGACTTCTTTTGCTACATGATTATATTAAAGCTTTATATATTTTTGTTTATAATTACACAGTAATTGTAAATGTTTAGTACCAAACTGATGACAAAGTTGAAAAGTCTTGCATTCAAAAATAAAATCTGTCAAACTCAAAGCATTAGGCCACAAATGAACATCACGATTCTCATGAGAAAGGTCTGAGGTGAAAAGGGAGCCAGCAGGCTTTCATTGGAAAACAAACCACACATGACTCAATCTGAAGACAGTAGCAGAACTCAAACCAGTCCATGTAGGGAATAAGCAAAATATGCCTGCAAAACTTTTAAAGATATATATGTGTATGTGTGTGTATACATATATATCTTTATTGTAAAGATATATGTGTATACTATATATCTTTATCCTAAAGATATATGTGTGTATACATATATATCTTTAATAATTTTTTTCATAATTGAAGTTCTTCATATTTACAAAACTGAAATCAAGAAATACTGAAAACAGTAAGATTCTTTTTTCTTTTAATAACCAGATTCTTGTAACGTGAATAAAAATTGACTCTAAGCCTTCTTTTGGTATTTGAAATGTATTCCTAAATTAAAGTTATGATTGGAATAATGATATATCTATAAGGTAATCTTTCTATGCAGTTTCCAAATCATGTAACTAAAAGCAGCTCAATCATTTCCATATCTGCATGAAATGAAGAGGAGCGGGACACGTGGAGCAAACTGTCCCTATCAAAGGCCAGTCATCCAACACCTAAGTTCGTCATTTTAACTTCCTGAAAATATTTAAAGTATGCCCTGTTCACATGTCAGTATGTTACCAGAGAAACAAGCCTGTTGTTCATCAGGAGAGCAAGTCATGGGTCCTGTCAAGAAAAAATAACATACAATCTGCTTTGTGTGGAAATAGCAAATGCAAGTGAGATGAAAACAATCAAAAGTTCAAATAATTTCTATAACAGAAGCCATTGGTATTCTGCACCAGCACTCGCTCCTTTGAAAACCTCTGCTCTCAGAGTAAAGATTTGGCATCCACAGTGATTTAGCAGTACAGCCACTTCAACACAAGAGGTCATAAAGGCTGGAGTATCGCCTGAAAGAGCAGTGCCGATATGATAAACATTGAACTTCACGGCTCATCACAACCACTTGGAAAATGTAAATCCTACTATCTTCTTATAAATTAAGTGAATTGCATTGTGTTCCATAGTGCGATGACAAAAAAGTTTAAAAAAACAAAAACTAAACCCTCATGCCTAAATTTAGAACATTGTACTATATAGCAATCCAAAACATTCAAAACAAACAAAATAGTTTAACTTATTCGAAAGGTGTAGAAGCATTTCAGAGCATAATGAAATCCGATTCTGTGCTGTGACGCAGACGAGTGGAATCTAACATCATATCCCAGTATAATAGTTTTTCAATAAACTTCCCTGCAGGACCACTGCATACAAACATGGGTAGGACAACCACAGACTGTTCTGTAGAACCTTTGTGAGAGTCTGAAACACAAGACATATTTCAGGTAGTCACCAAGTTATTCTAAATTTGTCATATGTGTCATAAATGTCATATGTGACATTTCTTTCATCCACTATTCCACTCACATCAACAGTACATGTAGTTTGCCAGGAAAATTCCCTCAAAGCAAACACCATTCCAGATCCGGTACACTCAGATAAATCCCTCTCCTTTGAAGGGCTACCAGCATAGTCTTTGCAACTAGCCCAAAGCATATACTTAAGAAGTTTTTATAAATTGTTTGTGGTGTTCATTATTATGTTTAATTCTTATGCCAAACTGTTTTCTGATGAAGACAGCATTGTGCTTTATGCAAGAATGGAAACCTCAAAATAATCACCATCAAGCTTCTATGACTTATGGGAAGACAAACTAAGATGGTCCACAGGTATAAGATGACATCCACAATGTTGGAATTATAAATGTTTAGAGTGGCCCAGACTAGAAGACAAGCCCAAACCACCAGTAGAAGAATGAGTACGATATGGTCCAAGATGTATCCTTAAAGTTGGTCTCAACCCTCAGTCTGAACTGTGAGGATTGATCTTCAGTTCGGTCCAGCCAGCAGAAATTGACTGTGTATTTCCCGTTGTATTTATTGTACAGACTATGTACATTCTAGAAGGTTCCTTAGTGCTACACTGTTGTACTTTTTGTCCCAGCAATTTGAGGGCGCGCAAATTCCACAAAGTCATCAATAAGAACAGGCCATGCTCCTGAAAAAGAAAAGAAAAAAATATGGGAGGAAAGGGAATAGAGAAAGGCAGAATAAAAGCTAATATTTCAATAGATCCTGTTTTTTAATAGCTTCCTCATATGAATTAAAATTGTTACTCTTATTTCCTCCCACTGATGGATCTTTAAAAGACTCCATCTCTATGTTTTCTATTAATATATTCCCTGTCTTCTCTGTCTATTATTCTACAGTGGGATTATAGCTTGATCAATGAAAACAACTCCTCTGGGCAACAAAGCAGTACTAAGTGTGGTTTCTCAGAAGGCTTTGTTAAGTCAGGCAGCCTACCCAACGGTGTGGCACCGAGTCCTACAGCGCCCTCTGAGCATTTCTCACGTCCCAGTGAAGGGATGATGGTGAGAATGGACAGGAGAGAGACTATGGCTGAATAAGCCAATGGGTCTCAGGAGGTAAAGTACGTGGGAGATTTTCCAAAGAACATCTTACATTCAACAATCTCAAAAAATTAACAGTTGGTTCTCATGAGGTAAGTGTGAAGAATAAACTGGAGAAGCTGCTGGGGGCGGGAGCATGCTGTCCACACAGACGGAGAAGAGCGTTAAATGGATAGTGGCTGGATGCAGCAAAAACCACCCGGCAGTTGATGTCATCTCAGATTACACAAATCCAGCACACTTCATGAGTTTATTGACAAGACTAACAAACAAAAACAAAAACCAACCCCACTGGTTTCAAAGGAATATAAAACACATTAAGAAAACAAACTTTTACAGTACATTAAGAAAATATAACTCTTATAGCACACTGAACATGTTAGATACAGTTCAACATTTCCTATGCCTTTCTAGAGGACAAATACTGGTAAGATTTTGCTCCCGGGATTGTGCAGTGTTATGGAGAGGACCCAGGCTCCACAAACATTCTGCAACTGAGCTATAGCTTCACCCAGGCCTCCTCCATGGCACTTGGCAAAGTGGAAAAGTTGGGTCTACATCTGTGTGTTTAGCAATTAAAGCGTAGGTTCAGTCTCTAGCATGCATGCACATACACTACACACACACACATACAAGCACACAGAGAGAGAGAGACAATGAAGAAAAGTTCAGAAAAGAAGATCCCTTCCATGGAAACAGTGGACGGAAGTTCAGGTAAGGCAAATATTTTTGCTACCTTCTTCATCATAATTGGACATGTCATCTGCAATCATTGAACTGAAGTCTAACAGAAGATTCCACGTGTCTTTTGGTATTGATCGTTTATGATGCTCCTATTAAAACATCAAAAAACAAAGAGCCTTTAAACCTTCCAAACATTTGGGGAAAGTTGGTTCAGCTGTTGCTACATTGGGAAAATGTAACATTTGCATAATAAAATTTTGGTAGTCAAATTTCTCACTCTATGTACATGACATGCTCTGAAATTAATGATGCCTTGAAATAAATTAATATTTAAGTACAGTATAATCTTAAGAGAAAACAGAAACTGCAGAAAATGTTAACTTACCAACAAAAATTTATTCCATAAGTCTAAGAATTTAAATCTTCCATTAAGCACTAAGTTCCAGTAAGCAATGGCCATTTCTAGATCTGTAATATTAAAAATAAGTTATGAACTTTAATGCTTTGGATATATGTCTCTGCAAAAGAACAGTAACTGAAACAAAGAAAGCCAATTGCATTCTGAGTATTATAGATTAAACTTTCCTTAAAGACCCGAGTCCACATTTGTAACCTGCTTCCTTTCCAGTGAGCTCTCAGAGCCTCTGGGGTGAGAACAACGCAACTTACCTTCGCAGGGTGTTGGCGCTGAAAGTGGATGTAGTCGTGTGCTTTTCCACTGCCAAGTACTAATGTGTGGAGTCCCC